TATTGAATGGCCCAGCTGTAATGCAAAAAGTATATGTAATCGTAAAATAAATGCAAAGAAGTTGTGACTCCGCTCATTGATCTCTTATAAACTCCATACAAAGACATTTTGGAGAGTTGTGTGATAAAGGAATCTCTGGTATCCACAGCATGAGACTTCCGACTACAAAATTAAAACTGTATAGATGCCCAATTTCCCTGGAGTACCAGTTTGGGCGAATATTCACCCAAGAATAGTAGCAGAACCTCCTCTTTAGGCTATCGAGGAGTTCGTAAAGTAATTCATGATTTGGTTCCACCGACGGCTGTGGGTTGGCTACCTTGGGGTTGTGGTTGTAGATTTGGGTGAATAGGTCCTCGGCGCACTGCACTGCGACCCCGATGAATTCCTGCTGAGCTACGTCCGTCGTGCGAAGGACATCGTCAGTGCACGACACCATGGTCAACGATAATTCACCAAAAACACGAAGGCAAAATATGTGGCTGCGGATGACATGTGAAATAGCTACAGATGACGTGTGAAATTGATGCTATTGAAACCGAACAGCAGCGTCCTCCCAGAAAAACACTTTTGCCTTTGATCCTGCAATGTCAGCGCCTGTGATTGTGTCCCATTGCACATGTGTTGTGCCTAATAAAGCTCCCTCCTCTCTCTCTCACTCCAAACCTATCTAACATTCACACGTAGTTTCCGCTTAACTTCCTACAATCATTCCTTCTATTCAGGCTACTGGCTGTTATGTTGATTTTCATCCTCTCGATAGTCTTTAGCCTATTGGTATAGTCTCCATATGCTGCTATGCGTTTGGCATTAGACCAATCTATCTGGTGTCTTATGTGAGCCATCTCTTCGGCCAATTACGATATTTATACCCACCGACCTTCGCAGGCTGTTATGTGTTTGGGTAACCTCTTATGTATGGGCCTACAGATCTCTCCCACATGAACACAACATCTTGTAATAGCCCGATCTTAAGAGCGGGTCAGAGTATTCTTGAAAAGAAGGCTACCGATGAAAGTGTTATTTTCCCTTTACAAATGGTCCTGATGTCCCACCTCCTCATTAATTCGCCTATCTTCTTCGAGAGATTACACGATGGCAGCATAAGGATCCTGGTAGAGTGATCTGTTTTTTTATCTAGCCCCAAAAATGTATCTTCCTTCATACTATTTGACAATATTCTAAAATGGTTGTCAACCAGCCCTCGTGGATAATTATTCTCAATTAGCATACTCTTCAGTCTCCGCCAGACGCAGCCCCTTAGTATCATAGACTTCATAATTCCTACTTCAACCCCATGAGTGTGGTTGAAGAAGAAATTCAAAAGGAAACCTGGACTTGTGGGTTTCCTAGACGCATATCGATTCAGGTTTGATATGTTGTAATTTGGTTTTGACTCTCATATCACACTCATTTCAGGAGCAATGAACTCACACAACACGTATGCAATGGGACGTAATCACATGCGGTAACATTGAAGGATCAAAGGCATAAGTGTTTTAGAGGAGGATGCAGCTGTTCGGTTTCCATTGCACCCATTTCACTCTTCATCTCTACCCACTTCACATGTGATTCTTGAGTGGAAAAATTCCGTCCGTGTTTTTGGTGAATTATTGTTAACCATGGTGTCGTGCTCTGACGATGTCCGTCGCATGACGGACGAAAGCTCATCGGGGAAGCCGAAGACCTATTCGCCCAAATCTACAACCCACAGCATCCTTTCCACTCGCCTCTTCAAATGAAATAAAAGTTACACCCAGATAAAAAAACATGCTATTTTA